GAACTAACTCATTTTTTGTTGGTTCTTTATATAGTTCTTTCAGTCTCTAGTTCACTTATTTCTGATCTAACTTTTATTGTATCTTTCCATCTGCTGGTTTGAGGTTTGGCATGTTCTTTTTCTAAGAGCTTGAGGTGCATAATTAGAATATTAATTTGAGATTCCTCTATTTTGTTGATGTAGGCACTCATAATGAATGATAACTTTCCTATTAGCACTGCCTTGGCTATGTCCCATATGTTCTAGTATGTTGTGTTTTCATGTTCATTAGATTCTAGGAAGTTTCAGACTTCCTCTCTTATCTCTTTGATGCCCACTGATCATTCAGCAATATGTTGTTCAGACTCCATGAATTTGAACTTTTTCTGTGGTTTCTTTTGCTATTGGGCTCTTGTTTTATTCCATATGGTTCAATAGCATAGTGGGTATTATTTTCAATTTTCTTGAATTTGCTGAGACTTGATTAATGACCTAGAATATAGTCTACCTTGGAGAAAGTTCCATGGGATGATTAAATATGTGTATTATGCAGCTGCTGGATGAAAAATTCTGCAGAAGTCTTGTTAGGTTCAATTAGTCTATGGTGTTGTTTAAATCTGAGTTTCCTTACTGAGTTTTTGTCTGGATGATTATATTCAGTGAAAGTGGGGTGTTGAAATCTCTAACCATTATTGTGTTAAGATTTATGTGTGTTTTTAAGTCCAATAGTATTTGTTTGACAAAGTTGGATGCTCAAGCATTTGATGTACAGATGTTATAAATTGTTATGTCTTCTTGATAGAGAACTCCTTTTATTAATATGAAGTTCCTTTTCTATCTTTTCTGATTAATTTTGATTTGAAATTTACATTATCATATATGAGTAGTGCCATTCCCTTATAAAATTTATGTGCTCAGAAGATTTTTTCCAACATTTCCCTAAAGGAAGTGTTTGTTTTTGCCAGTTAGATATCTGTCTTATAGATAATAGATGATTGTATCTTGCCTTTTTATCCAACTTTCCATTCTCTCCATTTATACACATCATTTTTCTATATGAAGTTTTTCTTGGGAGGGCCAAGCTTTTATATAGTAGTGTAGGGGTTAGAGCTAAATTCTCTGGGTTATAGGGAGATGAGGGAAGAAATATGGAGTATGGAAGATGATGAGACAGGAAATGGGATATGCTATGTGCAGCTATTAAGATCTCATGTGAGGAGGAATGGTGAAATAAAGGTGATGTAAATAGAAAAAGATGAAGGCTCTAGGATATAAGGAAGGAGAGCTTTCCAGAAAAAAGAACAAAGAAAGAGGACAAGAAAGAAGAGGAGGGGGAAAAGCAAAAATAAAGCAATCAAATACACAGAACTAAAAAGAACCTCCTACCCCTAAACAAATGAAAACAAAACAAAACAAAATATTCACAACCACAAAAATTAAAGAAAGCAAAAGAGAAAAGAGGTCCCAAAACAGTCATAGTTCTGTATTTGTTGAGATTATAGTTGGTTGCCCACCAAATTCTGTCTTTGAGATGATCTGCACTTCCAGTCTCAGGTTCCATTTTGTGATCTGGCTCGAATGAACTGCAGTTCCTCTGGTGGAAGATGAAGCACTGTATCTCTCTTGAGACTCCTCAGGGATGTGCTGTATGTCCTGATAGTGCTCCCCAGATAAGTTTCTAAAGCTACGAGAAACTATTGCTGCTGTTTCCAATCCGCTCTCGGCACTGAAAAGCCTGCTCAAGTGTCAGCTCCCCATACCTCTCAGGGATAGGAATGTGGTCCTCTGTCACTGGCTTGAATTCTCTTCTGAACTTGCCCCTCAGCTTGGGCAGTGTAGCTGGTACCCTGTGGGGGAGAAGGATTATGATTATGTTTGGCAATGGTCTCTACTGGGACCCACTTGAGTCAGTGTGGCCTAGCATCCTGGGCAGTGGGAGAATTATACAAAAATTCAGCAACCCTTCTTCCTGTTAGCACATGGAGCTCAGGGTCGAGTCATTCACCCTCCACGAAGGTCTCTAGGGTCCTTGTCCTGGATTCCTCTGGTGAAACAGCTGTTTCCTGATATGGGGCACCTTGTGTGGCGGGTTTGGAATTCTTGTATTTACTCCTCCTCTGGTACCCTCAGGAAGTGGCTGCCACCATCTGTGCTTCTGAGTATGTTCTGGCTTTTTCCACACCTCCAAAAAGGGTCTTACAGTTGTGCTTATTCCACTGTTAGGAGATAAAACATCTTCTGTTTTATTTTTGAGAAATGATTTCACTGTGTAGCCCAGGCTGGCTCCAACTTGCAGCCTTCCTGCCTCAGTCTCCCAGTTGGTGTTAGGATTACAGGTATCACAATCATGTCTGGCATTGTCATTTTTGTTTTTTTAAGTGCACATGAGTGAGAAAGTAGAGAGAATGGAAGATACTAGCTACTGCAGCTTGGGCCAGGCCATTTACAAATCATGGAAGTGCAAGTACAAGGTGACTCCTAGACAAAGTCAAGTTCCATCTCAGACCAAGCCATCCTACAAACTTCTGGTCTGCACCAACAAAATGAAAACCAATTATCAGCTAAATACCGAACAGTAGATTTCCCTAAAATATGTGCTCTCATTATTACCTGTCCTGTATTTGTCCCCTTTTAAATAGCTCTAATTAATGGGCAATTAACTTTTATCCATGTACTCTAATTCTTTTTAATTTTTCAAACTTCTTCTGAGTCCCTTCAGTACAGCAAGTTCTTTGCTTACAAATTAATTTAATTCTAGAATATCATGAGTTGTCCAGACCCTGTTTAGAAATTACAGCTCATCCCAACAAAACGTAACCATTTTCCAGCTCATCCCTAAAAGAGCTATTTAATGTCATCATGCAGATTAAAGTTGTCTGTTCTAAACGAAGCATAGCAAAGAATAATTCTGTCATAGCAATTATAATTAAACCAGATTGAATAAGCCCAATTTTATTTATCCCAAATGCCAGTGACTAAAGAAGAGCAGGCTTATTTTGGTACAGAAAAGGACACAGGTAGAGATACTGGTAGAGATTTTAAGAAGAGAGAGAACTTTTCATTAAAAATATTAAAGGATTTTCTATCCAGTGTCCCAAGTCTGTGTGGAAAACATGTAATATAGTTCTTTGCTTAGTACACACAATGTAACAGACATGATTGAAAAATACAGTAATATCAGCCTAATCTTGCACCTTAATTGGTAATTATTTTCATTCATTATGATATTTCCCAACTGGCATTCACATACATATATTTTTGCATAATGGCTCTTGGTATAATTAAAATTTTTGTTTAGTTTTTTTCCTGTTGAAATTATCCATGCTGGATAATTTTATCTATGCTGGAAATGATCCATGCTGGATCATTTTCAACATTTCTATATTCTTGATACATGTTCACTTTTAATCAGAACAAACCACCTCAGTGAGGAACAATAATTCTTCTATTATTAAATCTTAGGAAATTGTCTTGGATTACCCAGGATAGAGCCTGAGTTTCAGATGTAACTCCCTCCTATTGCTCTGTGACTTTGGACAGATGACTTAACCTCTCTGTGTCTTTTCCTCATTTGTGAATTTCTGACACTACCTCAAGAAATATAATAGAGCAGCACATGTGCAAATATGACAGTTAACTTGCAATAATAATTCCACCTACTCTTTTCAGGTGCCAGATGTTGAGCTAAAATGCTTTTCTTATTAGTCTCTCAGTTTCCCATAACACTGTGAGGGTTCATGTTTGGTGCGGGGGTGGGAGGTAATGATATTTAGTTTTGGCATCCGAGTAGAATATTTACTGAGGAAAAACTTACTTTGGTATATGAAAATCTTTATGAACCTAGGAAATGCATTAGACTCACTGTCTTTTGACTTAGCAATTATGTATCATTGCTAGGGGTGGAGATGGGGAATCCTGGAGATACTCCAAGGGGTCCTCAAGGTCAAAGCTATCTTGGTGACCACACTGAAATGTTAGTTGGATTTTTTTTCTAGTAGTGGGTTTTAAACTCAGGGATATTATGTTTGCTTGCTTTCTCATCTGTCACTCTACCACTTGAACCATGCCAGCACTGGAGGTTTGAACTCAGGGCTTAGGCACTGTCTCTGAGTTGTTGTTTTTTTTTTTTTGTTTCTCAAGACTAGTGCTCTACCACTTGAGCCACAACTCTACTTGTGTCTTTTTTTGGTAGTTTATAGGACGTAAGAGTCTCATGAACTTACCTGCCCAGGCTGGTTTTGAACCACAATCCTCAGATCTCAGTATCTCCATAGCTAGGATTATAGGCATGAGCAACTACACCTGACCACACTGACTAATTGGAACTGGAGTGTCTCCGAATTTTCTGCTCAGAGCCTCTGGACCTCTGCTAGGATTGCATTGTGAGTCATATTGTTATGCTCCTGGTTTTATCTGGCTTTTCTGCTCTTATTTTTTTCCTGCTCTCATTTTTTGCTCTTATGGATATACAATGGTGTTCTTCAGAGGATACCTGACATGTGATATCACAGAAATTGAATGCAGAAGCAATATGAAACTACCATGGATGTTCACGGCAGAGAGTAAAGCAGTTGGAAGGAAAAAAGAAAAGTAAAAGGATGCCACTTTTTGATGCTTTGGAAAAATATAATTATTTTTGGATAAAAACATCCTCTTTAAGCTAACATAATGGGTTTGCTCTTATTACTTTTTAAATGAATTGAATATTTTTTTAAATATGCATTTTATTACTTGCCTAGCATGATTGAGTCCTGGATTGATCTCCAGCAACCCAGCCCCACAATAAAAGGTAAAAGCAGTTTTTAATGTAAGAAGCACCCATTGACATGACATTGTTCCATAATTTTTTTAAGAAGCAAAAGGGCTAAGTGACAGAGAACTGCTGTTTGGAGCTAACAGCTCTTTTTTTCTTAGAGTCTGATCTCCGCATGTCACAAGCTATCAACAGCTTTCTGCTTCCAAGAGGCTACAGGAAGGGAGGGGTGTGGTATTGATTTTTCTCTCACTTTTCTGATTTGTAGGATGCTAAAAGATTCGAAGGCATTGACACTGACTTTAAAGAACTGGCTTATGCTGCTCAGAAAACTCCAAATGTGGTAGAAGCCACCAACAAACCAGGTCTCTATGAAAAGTTGGAAGGGATTCAGAGCAGGTGAGGTTCTCCTCATTATATTTCCTTCTCCCTTCTGTCTCTGAGACCTTGGCTTAATTTAACTTCCCGAGTGAAATGAGTGCCATGGGGGAGGCTTGCTTTGCTTGTATATTTGAATAATATGGATGTCATTACAGAGGTGTCAATGCTAATGTCTATGTGCTAATGTATATCTTTGTAAATATCTCTAAATGTTTCTTCAGCTAAACTCTGCATAGATCCAACTACTGAATATATAGACATCCCTCAGTGTCCACCGAGAATTGGTTGCGGAGCACCTCACAGATTTACAAAAATCTGTAGATGTTTCAGTCCCTCATGTAGAATGGCACAATATTTGCGTATGACCCACACATAGTCCCACTTTGTTCTGTGGCTGCAGGTTGTGCCTGTGCGAGAAGGCCCTGGCAGAGTACCTAGACACCAAGAGACTCGCCTTCCCTCGCTTTTACTTCCTCTCCTCCTCTGATCTGCTTGACATCCTTTCCAATGGCACATCTCCACAACAGGTAAGCTGTGGGGAGCCCCTACAGAAAGCTCCAGGAGGACTGGGCCTCCCAGCGGAATCCCTCACTCTGGCCATGAGGAGACATGTTTGAGACTAACCCCAGCTCTTTCTTCATTGCCATCCTGATGGCTGTTGAGAATGTTTCCTAAACTGGCACTGGAGGGGCTCTGAGGAAGGCAAAGCTGGCACACTGAAGTCTTTATGGGGCTATCTTGATCTGATTCTGAGGAGGCATCTGGTAAGGAGTGGTCAACTGTGGAAACACAGAATGGAGTCCTGTCACTTGCAGTCCCATGGACAGCACTTTCCGCATTAGCTTTATATTTCTTTGTCCACTCCTACACAGTCTATTTGGTTCTCTTCACACCACCATGATGCCAGTACTTGTCTTGTGCAAGGTTGGCAAATACAGGCTCTAAGCAGCACTCTAATAAGCAACTTCCTGGAAATACTCCCCAAACCTTTGGCACGGTTTTTCTTCATAGGTCCAGCGTCATCTTTCCAAACTGTTTGACAACATGTCCAAGATGCAATTCCAGCTAGATGCCAGTGAGAACCCAACCAAAACAAGTCTTGGCATGTACAGTAAAGAAGAAGAATATGTGGCATTCAGTGAGCCCTGTGATTGCAGTGGGCAGGTAAGAGAGAGAACAGTCCTTTCCCTTGTTTTCTTGGTCTCTGTCTCTGTCTGTCTGTTTCTCTCTCCTCTTCCTCTTCTTCTTCTTCTTCTTCTCTCTCTCTCGCTCTCTCTCTCTCTCTCTCTCTCTCTCTCTCTCTCTCACACACACACACACACACACATACACACACACACACCCCACATCTGCATTCATATATGGCTGGCATCAACTTCATGGACTCTGGGATCTGCTGTCTGTGCCCTGAGACATTCAATTTCCCTTGACTTGAACCCACATTGGAGTGGCCTTTCATGCCCTCCTATTCTGTCTCTTGGAAGGACACATGTCAATATTCATACTTCATCCTTAAGCCAAACCCTGTGCTGAGAAGAATAAGATGCACATAAACAATACTTCAATCAACCAGAAAAGGATTTGAAAATGATATGTGGCAGCAGGAGACATTTACAAGGCAATCCTTGGAGCACCCCACAGGGGATTCTGAAATTCTGACACCTTCCTTGGGAGAAGATGTCCTTCGAAATCAATCACTTGCCTGAGATGTCCCCTCTCGGCACAAATGCACCCCTGAATCACTCCTTCCATAGCCCTTTTCTTTAGAAAGCCAATTCCATCTTTCTCCACCTCCTAAGTCTCCCATGTCCTATCGCTGGCACACAAATCATGGGATGCCTTTAACCTTCTCCCCATCCTCCTTCACCATTCATATATAAGTCCCTAATTGCTCATTATCTAAATGACCCAGCACAGCCTACTTGCTGGTCCCTATTCCTAGTCCCCTAGCCTACTATAGACATACATTTGGTTTTAAAATATATCTTGCAAGTGATTCTGCTGCATGCACATACATCCTGGCAGGTGATACTAGACCAGACAAATAATTTGAAGTTCTTAGTTTGATGAAAATGGCCAGGGGCCTTGGAGCTTAATTCAGAATGTGTTCTTTTCATAGACCCAGGAAGCATTTAGTAGGGAAAGATGATCCTGGCCTGCATCTCCATACTGTGTGAACAAGTCAGTAAGAATCCACTTGATTGTATTTGGCTCAACCCAGATATAGGTTTCTTTTTGTTAACTCTGGGTGGCTGTCCTCTACCCCTTTATCTTGTCACCATGTTCCGTGTGTTCCAAGTGGGCATACTAACCTAGCTCTTACTCATTCCATTTTGATGATACCAAGGTGATGATTCTCTGTGCCTTTCAATAGTGATTCAGGAGGTCTGTGATGCCCAGGCTCTATTTTCTTCACTCCTGAGGCTGCTAGGTGGAAGAGAATATGTGTTTTTGATTATAGCTTCTTTGGTTCATGGTGTCTAACTTAGAATTGTTCTTTCAGGTAGAGGTATGGTTGAACCATGTGCTTGCTCACATGAGGGCAACCGTGAGGCATGAGATGACAGAAGGTGTGACTGCCTATGATGAAAAGCCCAGAGAACACTGGCTGTTTGATTACCCAGCTCAGGTACCTTCCTTTCTGAAACATTATGAGCCCCTATTGTCCACTCAGAGAGGGACTTGAATCCCAGGTAGCTAGGAGGTGTCAGAAGAGGGAGCAAGAAGATGGACAGCCATGATGGAATTCAGCTACGACCCTAGACAGCTAAGAGCGATCTATTTTTACTATCATTGTCCATGGTAAAAAAGAAAATCTAAACAACTAAATTCTTTGAACTGTCTTACATGATGTGTGCCCAGCTCTGTTCAGAGTACATCTACAACATCTCCCCAATGAAAGTCCAAATGAGCATTGTGTCTAAATTCTCCACCACCAAAATTATGTATTTTCCATATAAAATTTCTTCAGCTAATAGAATATTTATTTGAATCCTTCTTTCCACATATTTTTTTGGTCGGTCGTGGGGCCTGAACCCTGGACCTTGGTGCTGTCCCTTCGCTCTTCAGCTCAAGGCCAGCACTCTACCACTTGAGCCTCAGCCCCACTTCCGATTTTTTCTGCTTATGTGGTGCTGAGGAATCGAATCCAGGGCCTCATGCATGCAAGGCAAGCGCTCCATCACTAAGCCACCTTCCCAGCTCTATTTCCACATATTTTCAAATCCTTTAAAAACACAGAGATCACAGTGATTTATTTTTTAGCATTACTTACCTTGACGTTCCAAAGTATCCAGATTATTTTAAGGTTATGAGGTTATTTAAAAATAAAGAAATAATAGACATACTATGGACAAGTAGCTATGGGCCACACATGACCAACAGGGGCTCAGTGAATTAGACAACTCAGGCCATAAGGGGATTATGAGGAATAGGACAAAGGCCAGCTGTCATTGAGATAGTCAGTCAAACTTTTTTACTCTCCTAACAACAGGAAAGATGCTGTCTCTAAGAAGTGAAAACCCAAATGATCTGAATGGTCATTCTAGAGGTCACAGACATTGACTAAAAATCAGTTCTTTAGGTCAAATCATACATGTTTCAAGAGCAGAAAAATGCTGTCCTCACTCGTGTCATAAATATTTTACAAATTGTTTACAAATTATGTCTTCAGTTGTCATGGGAGAAGGAGAAAAGGGGCCTGTCACCCATGCAGTTATACCATGAGACCTTGCTGTGTTGTGTATGGGTTGGATGGACATCTCTGATCACAGCTTCACTAAGCAGCTCTTGGTGTACTGCAGGTGGCCTTGACTTGCACTCAGATCTGGTGGACAACAGAGGTAGGCATTGCATTTGCCAGGCTGGAGGAAGGCTATGAGAATGCCATGAAAGAGTACTATAAGAAACAAGTGGCCCAACTCAAAGTCCTCATCACCATGCTGATTGGCCAGCTCTCCAAAGGGGACAGACAGAAGATCATGACTATTTGCACCATTGACGTGCATGCTCGGGATGTGGTAGCCAAGATGATTGCTCAAAAGGTAGGTCCTGTTACCTAGGAGTATTCCCTCTTGTGTACAGGTGCACCATGGGAGTAGCTCAGAGATAGCCAAGACATGGGACCTATGACCTGAACACCCACTAGGGGTGTCTGCTTCTACTTTTTAAAATCTGAGTGAAACAGTATATGGATGCTCCCCAACTTTCATGTGCTTAATTTATGTTGTTTTGACTTTATAATGGTAGAAAACCAAGATGTATTCAGTAGAAAGTAGGTTTTCATTACAGTTGTTCAATGAATAGCATGAGACATTCAATACATTGTCATAAAATAGGCTTTATGTTAAATGAATATTCCCCAACTGCTGGCTAATGTAAAATTCTTAAAGGTTTAAGATAGATGAAGCTAAGCTACGGTATGAAGTAGGTTAGGTCTTCTTAATGAGAATGTATCCAACTTAAGACATTATAGGTTTATTAAGATATAACTCCATTGTAATCCATCTGTAATCAGACCAAGTTATGCTTTTTATGCTGTGATCTAAGTACCCAACTCTTTTAAGTGGCAAATAAAATCCAAGCCATCTAGAGACTTATATGTATTGAGTTCTTGGGGTAGGATGGGGGAGGGGACACAAGGTACCTGTTGAATACAATGATTTACTCTCTTTTAGGTGGACAATGCCCAGGCTTTCCTTTGGTTGTCCCAGCTACGCCATCGTTGGGATGATGAAGCCAAACACTGTTTTGCCAACATCTGTGATGCCCAGTTTCTGTATTCCTATGAGTACCTGGGAAATACACCTCGCCTGGTTATCACACCTTTGACTGACAGGTGAGTACTGAAGTCAACCACTGACAGCCCTACTGCTGTCTACTTTCAGCTATCCAATGACTACCAAGTGCCAAAGTCATCATCCTTTGCTATATATTTGCATAGCTGCACGAGGAGGACCTGTCTCAATACTGTAGATGTAAAATAACACTGAAAGGGTGTAGAGCAGAGATTTCCTTGGAGCAAATGTCAGAACAAATGAATGAACCATGACTTTCTGAGGAATCACTAAGCAATTAGACACACCTGGATCTTAATACCAGCTCTAACACATGCTAGTTGCTTAACCATGAAAAAGTTAGAGCATAATATTTGGTTCCCTCATCTGAGAAATGAAGGTAATAACTCACAACCTCACATGGTTGTTTTATGAAGGTAAGAGTCTTACAAAGAATTTTGTACACAATCAGTGCTCAGTGATTAATCCTTTATTTTCTTATCATTAAGTTGATCAATCAACTTCCCCATTTATATAATACCACTAGCTCTGAGGATACAAAGATTTTAGAAGCATAGTTCTAACAATTAAGGAGCTTACATGAATGAACATAAAGAGCTAACATGAAATAAATTCACACCAGAATTCACTGGCCATTCTCAGATGAACAAAACCATATGTTAAAAGTGTCTAAATATTTGAAATATAAGTCAGTCCTCTGATCATCATAGTGGAGAAAAGACTCATGCCCAGTGGAGAGAAGACTGGAATGATTTGGGAAACCAAGGACGTTGGGTCAGGAGCCTGAAGTATGTGTTTGGTTCCAATGGGAGACTGTAAGCTTATTGCCATAGTGTCCATGAAATAGAAAAAAATCCATTCACAGGGGAAACAAAGGAGGAAGCTACAATGCTTGATAAGAAATGTACTCATTATCTTGCCCATGTAATTGTAACCCCTCTGTACAGTATTTTCACAATAATAAAAAAATCCATTCACTTATTAATTTTTCTGTTCAAAGAATCTATGGTATTTGTTGATTGGGAGAATTGATGGCCCAAAGTTAGACAGTTATTAATATGTATCCTTGGGAAATAGAATACTATGAATAAAGTCATGGAATTGGTATAACTCAAAATGTGTTCCTGAGAGAGGAATGTAAACTCTTGACTTTTGGGGAGGCAGCCAATCATCAGTGTTAGACTGCGAAATGTAAAAGACACAGTCTTTATCCAGTAAGCAATGATCAGTTATGGAAAAATTTACATCCAGAGAGCAATGTAATGAAGTCTGTGTTTTATCAAGGTTTATCTGGTGACAGAGCAAGAGTGAGGGAAAGAGGGATCGGGGCAATGATGTCATGAGAAATGATACCTTTCAATTCTTCTGAACTGTCTGTAAATTCTGCTAGGAGTTACCACTGAACACTGAATCTCTTCTTTCCAGAGAGAGTGGCACAACTAACTCCTGGCTCACCAAATGAGAGACTACTGGCTAAGGAAGGTCAAAGTACTCTGTGCCATATTTTCCTTTTTTTGACAGTACTGGAGCTTGAACTCGGGGCCTCAGACTCTTACTTGGGTTTCTTGCTCAAGTTTGGTGCTTTATCACTGAAGCCACACCTCCACTTCTGGGTTTTTGCTGGCTAATTGGAGATAAGAGTCGTGGACTTTTCTGCCAACTGGTTTCAAGCCAAGATCCTCCGATTTCAGCCTTTTGAGTAGCTAGAATTATAGGCATGAACCACCAGGGCTTTTCTATGCAATGTTTTTCTTAATTTCTTTCCTTCTTTCTTAATTGCCTGCCTTATTGTTAAAAAATTCATATACATTTTGAAATCGCTGATGAAACATTTCCAAATTATTACTCTTTCTGGAATAAATAAATTGTGGGGAATCTGAAGTCCCAACACCCTCTGTAGATAAAGACCTCCTGGCTCATCTACCTCCATGTTTATGTATTTCTTCAGCTCATTTTCTTGCCCAGTTTCAAAATCCTCTTCCCACTCAAATCACATTTCTTTTTCCTCAGATCTCCTTTGTGTGGAAAGAACTTGTTGAGGTCACAGCTCTGTCCCCCATGGCTCCTCACTGTACTTTGACTAAAATGTGAAGTCTTCTTAGGACCTGCTCATTCCTATTAGCCATCCCCATGCCTGACTTCCTACCTCCTGCTCACTCCATCTCATTTCTGGACCCTCACTTCAGCTTAGAACCTTCTGCCAGAAGTGTCATCCTCTGGCTCTCTATTCCACTGCTGTCATCATTTCTTTCTACTCTGAGTTCTAAGAGCCCTTTCCTGACTACTCTTGCTAAAAGACAACCTTTCCCACCTCACATGTACATACCAAGCACACAGTCCCGATAGAATTTCCTGCTGTATCTTTTTCCAAACACTCCCTAGCTTCTGAAATAACCTTAACTTGCTTAACTTGCTTGATGACTGTTGGCTGGTTGACCTTGGCTGGCCTTGTGTATAAGATCCTTAACATCTAGTAAGGTGCAAAGTTAATATTGTTAAAAGAGTAAATGGTGATAGCCAGGCACCAATAGCTCTAGCCTGAAATCTTAGCTACTCAGGAGGCTGAGATGTGAAGATCAAAGTTTGAAGAAGCCAGCCCAGTCAGGAAAGTATATGAAACTTTTTTTTAGGTTGTAGAACTTGAACTCAGGGCCTGAGTGCTATCCCTGAGTTCTTTTGCTTAAGACTAGCACTCTACCACTTTGAGCCACAGTGCCACTTCTGGTTTTATGGTGGTTAAATGGAGGCAAAAGTCACAGACTCTCCTGCCTGGACTGGTGAAACTCTTATCTCTAATTAATCATCAAAAATCCAGAAGTGGTACTGTGAATCATGAAGTAGAGTTGACTCAAGGGAAAAGTCTACTCAAGACTCTGTGTCTTGGCTCTCACACATCTGTCTACAGCTGAAATGGAAAAGGCTGAAGCAATTCTTGAGAGGGGCTTGGAACCTTAAGGGTTTTAGCTAGACACAATTAGTTTTCGAGTTCTTTCAAGGTGTGTTGAAAGAAAAGCTTTCCTACTTGGAACTATATTCAGACAGGATCCTCTTAAATATCTTCATCTTGATGGTAATTTTCCGCAAGACATCGATCATTACCAGGGAGGAAATCTGGTACAGCATTTCTTTCTACAATGAGTTTTTTTTTTTTTTTCTGCCTGCCTTAGAATGCAAGCTAACAATATGGAAATGTGTATCACTTTGAGCCAGAATAATGAAGCTACACATTATTTGAGCAATCTGATTAATGTTTATCCCCTGATCTAGATCGTATGTTCCATGATAACATTGACTTTACTTCGGTCTCCGCTCTACTCTCAAACCTACCTAGCACTATATCCAGCATAAAATAGACAAGCAGGAGGTACTACCAGAGTGAATGCAACATCCTGAGACCCTGGATACATATCCAGTGTTCTCATTACATTCAGAATATTTCCTTCTATTCCCACTGACCTATCAGACATTACCATTCTGAGTGACAAAAAGTACAAGACTTTTATTTCCCTAGGTCTTTGCACCTGCTGGGGAGTTGAAGAAGATAATTACTTCTTTTCGATTTAGAGGTCTCTAGTACACTTGTGCTGAATACCTTATAGAGGAGAAGGGTAAAGTTTGACAATGAATTATTTCTAAAGTAAGGGATTTATCGCCTCTTCTGTGAAATGATGCACATAACAACTCGGAAGGAAGATTTGCTGCAAATAATGGTGAACACTATATAGACTTTGACCTTGTTTTCTGCATTAGATGTCTTTCCAACAAAGTAGTATGTAGTTGAATATTTATATGGTAAATTCCATTTTCTCATTGACTTTCATTATTATCTCAAGAAATGTTGTGCTCAGAAAAAAAAAAGAAAAGAAAATTGGCCTCCACATAGAAAATCACATTTTAAAGAGCATTCAACCTTTACCGCTGTGTTGTGTAAGTACATTTAATTCTCTCCTGCCAGAAGAATTAATCAAATGGACAATTGATTCGTACAACCTTTGCACATTCATTAAAAGCACACCCATGGTATTGTACATCCGGCTGATTGTGCCTACTTCTTTGGAATTTCCCAGTGCCTGGATGGGGCTGGAATGTATAAGTAGGTACAATGGCTCATCCAGCATCTTAGGCCACTGACACAATGCTAAGTTGAAGAACTAAATGGAAATGTCTTTTCAGGCTGAACAAAAGCAATTCTCATGAGTTGCTTCTTAGTCGTTCGATTATCTGCTTTCCTTTTCTCCCCATCCCTCACCTTCACACATAAATGTCCACCTTTTCTGCCCTGAGCTTTGTTAAGCGCTGTTTTAATTAACTGCTTATCAATTCTGAGTTACCTCCTACTTTCTCAGGAGCCACAGCAAGTAGACAGGATATAATCTGTGTGAATTTTTGAAGGTTTCTTACTGGATGGGGACACAACTAGTAAAAGTCATAAACTTGCTTGTTAAGTTTTTTTTCTCTGATTATTTTATTGGAGAAGATTTGGAAAATTTAGTAATTGGCAAAAAGAAGTCACCCAGAGGCAGTTCTTATTAATAGTTAGCCTGTTTCCTTTACATGTGGATCTCCAGTTTTGAAATTGAGATCATATGTTGTATATAAAATATGGATTGCTTGTTTTACTTAACACTATATGGTCTGTTTTCCTAATTATTATTCTAAAAACTTTAATAGCTGAATTATATTCTAAATATAAGTATCCCATAAATTATGTAGGATAACCATATTATAGGGCGCTTGAGTTAAAAATGAGTTTTTTATTATTAAAAATAAAGCAGCATGAAACCATCTGTGAAATTTTTACCGAATTTCATTTTATTTCCTCAGGATGGATTCTAAGCATGATAATCAGTTAATTATAAGCTTCTCCCTATGAGCAATGTTGTTTCCACTCTCATTAGTAGTTGGGAGTCTTCACTGCACAATATCTTCTTAGAAAATCCCTGCTCATTTTGCAATAAATTTAATATTCACTTCTAGTTTATCTAAAATAAAATTTAGAATTTATATTTTTTTGCTGTAGTCTTTTTAATACTTTGGAAAA